GAGGAACTGGAGTTCTAGACTGTTGTGAGTCACGTGGGTGCTGCGAAGGGAACCTGGGTCCTCTGTAAGAGCAGCCAGTGCCTTTAACAGCTGAGCCATCTCTCCAGCCCCGAAGGTTGCCTTTTCATGGTTTCCGCTATAGCTATGTTTCCAGTAGAGGGAGGATTTCTACATAGCTCTGCACATGCTACTGTCTGATGTGTTCTCAGCTCTCAGATTTTCTTTGGTTAGTCTCCCACTTAACACTATCGCCTCGCCACATGGCAAGAGCCCTACCACTAGGGCATACCCAGGCTTGCCAGATGGCTCTTTTCAACAAGTATGATCTCCGAGCTTTCATGGGGTCGGCCAACAGACCTTCACAACTTAACATGCTCCGGTGCCTGGGGGAGCTTGGGAAATCACCCTAGCTGTGCTTGTAGGGGAGGAACAAAGGGGAGTTCAGATCTCTACTTAGAGTGTCCCAGACCACACATATTCTGGGACATCACTGTAATTTTGGTGTTGATTCTCACTGTCTTTGCAGCGTTTCTGTTCTCGATAGGCCCGCAAGGCTAGCACCACGCTGGCAGTGTACATAATCACCAGAAGGCAAGCGAAGGTGGCCGCTGCCCCATCGGTTCCTGCCAGCTGGCAGTTCATCCAGGTGAGACCCCTGCGGGCATAGAGCCTCTCTCTGTTTTTGCAAGTGTCGGTGGAATTGATGCGCAATGCAACGTGGAGGTAAATGCCAATGCCGACACAGTAGCCGACTGCAGCCAAGAGGCTGAAGGCGGCCTCCAGCAGCAGCCACCTCCCAGGCAGCTTCCTTAAACTCTTGGCTCCCTGCAGTAAAACTCCCATAGTGAGGACGCCCAGCCCCAGGGAAACAGCCACGCCACCATAGATCAGGGGCGACCGCAGGATCGTGTACTGCTGGTCCAGCTGCCGAACCTGCTCCAGCTCGGTGCCCTCAAATGGTGAGTAGTAGTTATTCCCGAAGCCGCTGCCGCTGGCAAAGCTGGCGCTGAATCCGGCCAGGACAAAGTAGGAGGCCACGATGCACATGAGAACCATGCCATTCAAAATCACCTCCACTATCTGCACCACACCTGGGGGAAGAGAGAGTCTGATTTAAAGCTGGAACACTCGCCGGGGCAACTAGGGATCCCCTGGGTCGGAAGATAACCGGTTCGATTCAGCGGCCTTATCAATATTCTTGGTTTTGTCTTAAAAAAGCAAGTAATATAAAATCCTAGTGCTTGTGGTGGGTCTCAGGTCACGTGCATGTTAGGCAGGTGCTCTGCCAGTGGGCTGTGCATTAGCCCTGTTGCTTCTAAAACATACTTAAAAAATCATTGCCAGTTGGATGGGTTGAGCAAGGGCTCAGCTCAGAGCACTTGTGGCTCTTGCCTAGGACCTGGGTTGGGTTCCCAGCACCCACACAGTAGCTCACAACCTCTGTAACTCTGGTTCCAAGGAATCCCATGCCCTCTTCTGACCTAAGTGGGTGCCAGGTATTCAAACACTCCACATGCAAAAACCCTCATATATATAAAATACACATTCTTATAAAAAAATCAATTGTCAATCTGAAAAACTAGGAGACTTAAAAATTTTTTAAATTATTTTCATTATTATTATTATTATTATTATTTTACATAGGGTCTTGTTTTGTAGTCCAGGCTGGCCTTGAACTCATTATCTACCTGCCTTAGCCTCCTAAGTATTAGGATTACAAGTGTGTAGTACTGTAAGTGGCTTAGGGTAGTTTAAAAAGTTAAATATATGTGTACCAGGTGTCTCTGCTATTTACCCTAAAGAAATAAAGTTGGTAGTTTGAGGAGGAAAGCCTTTAGTGGGAAGCTAGCCAGTGCTACACAATGAGAGGCAGCATCAAAATAAAAAAAAAAAAAAAAAAAAGAAAGAAAAAAAAACACAAAAACATTTGTGAATCTTCAGAGTAGTAGCTTTATTTGTATCAGCTGAATGCTGGGAGAGCTTACCCTGGAGCAGTGAATGGTTCAGGTATGGACCACTCCTCGCCCCCAGGGAACGCCCTACCCAGCAACAAGGAGGTGGCGTGGACCAAAAACAACCTGGGTGAGTTTTAAGGTAATTATGAGTATGTGTGTGTGTGTGTGTGGGGGGGTAGAGTTCTGGTCTCAAAAGGCTATGTGATTCTGTCTGTGGAACGGTCTCAGTGGGACAGACTCTGGCAGTGTGGCACAGTGTGGCAGGGTGGTGACTGGGACAGGGATAGGTGGGAGAGAGGAAGAAAAGGATGGGTGTGGCTGTGAGGGAACATTCAGCACTAGAGGCGTCTGCTAGGATGGATGCTTCTGAGTTTCATTGCGGTGATCACACTAATACAGCGATAAAACCACACGGATGAGTACGTGTGCAACTGTGTGAGTGAGTGCTACCCAAGCAGCGATTTCTGGGTCCTGATATCCTCATTCAAAACATTGCAACTGCAGAAAGCTCCTGAAGGGTACAAAAGGTCACTCTGTACTGCCCTGTGACTTCTTGGGAGATTTCAAATGAAAAGTTTGAAAAAAAAAAGTTAATGTCATGAAGTATAAACTGAAAATTTTTCATTCACGTTCTCCCCTACCCTCAAAGAATAGTCTTGCTATGTAACCCAGACGACCTCAAACTCTTACCCAGACACCACAACTCCTAGCATTTTCATAACTTTCTAATATAGCCCTTGCTTCTTTCTGTCTGTCTCTGACTCTCTATTTCTATCTCTATCTCCCTGTGTGTGTGTATATGCATATGTTCACGTATGTATATATGTATGCATGTTTATGGTGGAAGGTCATGCATATACACATGTTGAGTGTATAAAGGTCAGAGGACAACCTCAGGTGTCTCCCACCTTTTCTTGGAAACAGGTCTGTTGCTGATCTGGAACTTCACCAAAAAGGTTTGGGTAGCTAGCTACCAGTGAGTTCCAGGGTTCTACCATCTCTGCCTCCCATCTCACCAGCACAGGGATCACAGGCATCCCCCACTGAGCCTGGCTTTTGACAACACATTCTGGGGATCTGAACTGAGTGAGGTAAGTGTGACTGTGAGGCAAGCACTTTGCCCGTGGAACCGTCTCCTCAGCCCACTCTCCAGCTTCCCTTTATGCAAATAAAAACATCCAAATCTGTGCTGCACTTTCCTCCTCCCCCTCCCAACATAAATGTAGCACACACAGCATCAAGCATCCTGCTGGTGTCATGTACTCTATGCCAGCGACATCTCTAGGTCAGTCTGCACAGTGGCCACATCATTCGTTACATGACTTCCAACTTGCTTGTTTGGATGGGCCAGTTTGCTCAACCAGGTTTCTACAGAGAGATGCTTGGGCTGTTCGTGTATAGGGAGTTTCTCAGAAGCCTGGCAGACCTTCAGATTCCACAAGGCAGTGAGAGCCACCAGGTGGGCCAAGACTGAACACCTCTTGTCTATTGGTTGTCCCTGTCATTCGCTCCCTGCAGAAGCTTCAGACTGTGCTGCTAGCTTCTAGAAATCTGAGCATCACCCTCTTGGGGTGCAGAGGAGAGAATGCAAATGAACCCTGAATTCAAATACCAGATTTCAGTGTCTACTCTTTACTGGTCAGTGACCTGCCGGGCTCACTGAAGTCCTTCTAAGCCTTAGGCATTTTATCTAATGAATGAAGATAAGGCTTCCATCCCCACCCCACCTCCCTCTCCCACAAGCCTGTGGGAGGGGTCAAGTGGAAGGGGGAACAGTCAGCTCCCCCAGTTGCAGCTTCTGCACCGGAAGTTTCCACTAAAGATTAAAAAGCGTCTGACCATGGAACAAAGCAAACTTTTTCTGAGCAGTGTTCGCTAGACAATACATTTTAGCAACTGTTTGCACAGCATTTATATTGTTAGGAATAAGTAATTCAGGGATAGCAGGAGGCTATAGATATGTTATACACCAATACCATGACATTTTTATTCAGGAACCAGAGCACTCTCAGACTTAAATATTGGAGGGGACCCTGGGGCCAATCCCTGTGGACACTAATACATGACTAAAATTCCTTGGAAATCATAAATGGATGGTAAGACATCTCTGTAATGTTCTAAAATCAGAGGAGAGCAGTACAAAATGTGAGAAGAAATGGGAGAGAATTTTGAAAAAGTGCTGTTTCCCAGAGATTAATGCATTACACTAACAGGCGCCATGATTATCACAGAGGCAGTTAAGGGGCAGCTGCTGGTTCTACAACCCTCAGGCACAGCTAGCTGAGCCTTCTTCTGCAGGCCCACGTGAATTCCTGAAAAGCCAGGGGACACAGCAGCGTGGGGATCTGAGAGTTGAGAAATTGCATTGCTCTTATTTAAAATTCAACATCGGATTCAAACTGCCCACTCTTCATCCAGGCTCTGTAAGTACAACAAATGATGAACCAGCCCAGATGTCACTGGTGGGAGGCAGCTGTCTCCCACACCCCACATCTTTCTCTACCCTGATTTTCCTTCGGTCAGCATGTAGAAACGGAAGCACTGCACCGATACAAGAGATGGGAAACATGACCCCTCTCCTTGTGGTACACACAGCACACACCTCTTGGCTACAGTGGAAGAAATCTAGGCTTCCATGCCTTCTAGGTGCAGTGATAACAGGGTTTATTGAAGGAATACCACTACAGGGACTATTCTGGACACCAAGGAGCCAGACCTGCCTTAGCCAAACTACCCCTTGCACAGTCACAAGTATCCTTAAGCATGCAGTGAATGCAGAAAGATACATTAGAGAAAAAGGAAACAGGGCAGACATTGCAATCTGTCTCTGGTTGGGATGGGTCAGGTCTGCAGAGAGACTGCAGAGGTCTGTGTCTGTGGAAATAGAGACTCTGAAGCTCCCTGCACCTTTGCTGTAAACAGCAGCCTGCTGAGCAAGACTGCCTTTGCAGTTGACCATGTAACACTCGACTTACGTCTGTGGTCTGTGTCTGCTTCTGCGCCATGCACAACTGTTTTAGGGGGAGAAAACCCGAGGCGAGCAAGTCAGTTTGATCTTTTTATTTTGCAAAAATAAAATGAATATGTGCAGTCAAGATATCTATAGAATGAAAAATAAAAATCTCCCTTTTTCTTTGAGCAAAATCTCTCACAGTGTTCAAGAAGATTTCTAACCATGTATGACAGAGGTATGCAATTCCGTCCCTAAACCCAAAGTCTTCTAAATCAATTAATGGCATCTAAGCGAATAATGTATTATCAACATAAAGAAAACTGCAGCTTCCAAATCAAAACGTTTCTTTGAAATGCTTGGATTCCTATTAAGCAAAGAACATATTCACTTAAGTTGTAATTCACATTGTCCAGTCTATGAAGTTATCTGTCCAAAAGTAACATTCCTTTGTTGGGAAATAGACTTCACATTCTTTTCTTTTGGGTAGATCCTGAATACCAGCTGTGGGGTTGGAGTCTTCATACAATGGCACATTTACGAGAGGTACAAATGCTTATTGAGCGCTGGGGCCTGCAAGGGGCCTGTAGAATGACTTCTTTGCAGCTCAGTGAATTTAATCTGATTCTCTTTTCCTTACGGCACACCCTCACACTCAAGTGTTTCTGAGAAAGTGTCCCCAGACTCCACAGAGTTGAAGGAGTACAGGGACCAGATACTTGGTGTGGTGAAGCCGGGTGCATCTACTGAAGAGAGCTGGAGTTTAGGACAGTTCAGGTGGAGCTGTCTCCTGTCAATATAGTTTTTTTGTGACCTTCAGGTATAAGTTTCCAATGCAATTGTCCCTGCCCTGATCATGAAGTGCACTTTGCCTTCCTCCTGTCGGTCCTGACCTCTATTAGCTCCTTCTTTGTCTGGCTTGGAGACAGGGGCTTGCTACTATATATCCCAGGCTAGCCTTGAACTCAAGATCCTCCTGCCTCCATCTTACAAGTGCTAGGATTATAAGATTACAGGCCTGTATCATCATGCCTAGCTCTAGTGTTTTGGGTTTTGATATGTTTTTGGTTAGTGCCACCACATTTACAGATTCCAGAAACCAGTGAAACACTGCTCCAGGTATAAACTTAGCATTCCTACATTAGCTTGGTATTTTGGAAGCATTAGTGAGTTCCACATCAAAGAATTCTTGTGAAAGATTATGGTTGAAAGTGACTTCTGTCATACATTCCAGAAGTCTAAAACTCAAGCATTTCTGTGGGCTTCTCCTTCAGCTTCTTGACTTTTCGGTAACCCCTAAAGGCCAGGACAGCTCCCACAGTGAAGACCACAATGCCCATGGCTGCAAAAACTCCTGCTCCTATGTCTCCCCCATGGGCACCACAATTGAAGCCACTGTAACCTTTGCTCTGGTACAGGGCCTCTCGCTCCTTACACACGTCCGAGCTATAGGCAGCAGAGAGATGCTGGAAGAAGAAGTACAAGGCTGGGATGTATGCCCCAGCGACGAGCACGTCTATCAAGCCCTCGATCACCAGACACAGTGGACAGTGCCATGGGACCCGCAGGACACCCCCGAGGATGAGGAGACAGGAGAAGGTCATGAGGGCTCCGCTGTAGGCCATTGCTGCAGTAACCGCGGGCAGCTTGAGCTGATAGAACTGTACATCCAGCTGCTGGGCTTTCTCCCCGTCAGCGCCACTGAAGCCACTGTAAGCCCCTCCGTATTGGTAGTAGTAGATCCCCCCCAGGCTGGTGATGCCCGTGTAGCCCCCTGTGGAATTGTAAGAGATAGAGCTGCAGGCCAAGATCAACAAGTTCAGCAGAACCTCCAGCATCTGGCAGCAGGCTGTAAGAAAAGGGTGTTACTGCTCCAAGATGCTGCTTTTGCACTAGGAGACTCTTCATCAGCCTTCCCAGGAAGCTCAGCCCACTGGTTCCTTCTTCTGCCCATAGTGAGCAGTGCAGGCTCCACAGTTAGTGTCAGGGGGCAGCAGGGATGCTTTTCCTTTGACTGAAAAGCATAAGGCTCAAAAAAGCCAAACAGGGCAGGGGGGCGGGGTGCACACCTTTAATTCCAGTACTCAGGAGGCAGAGTCAGGTGTCCCTGAGTTCAAGACCAGCCTGGTTTACAAAGCAAGTTCCAGGACAGCCAGGACTGTTACACAGAGAAACCCTGTCTCAAAAAAACAAAAACTACCTAACAAACAAACAAAGAAAAACAAGCCGAGATGGCTGTCAGTAAAATGTTTGCCTTGTAAACATGTTTGATCCTCAGCATCCATGTAAAGTACTAGGCATGGTGGCACATGACTGTAACCCCAGTACTTGGGAGGCAGAGACAGGAGGGTCAGGGGTTCTCAGCCAGCCTTAACTACATAGTAAAGTTGAGACTATCCTGGACTACATGAGATCTACCCTCCCTATAGATAACACATTTTTTTTCCTCTCTCAGTACATCTAAATTTTAATTTTAAGTACCTTTTTATATCTCTGTAAACATAAATCTACCTTATAGATTTGTCTTTAGTTTTTATTATTTACATATGTGAGTATATGTGCTAGTGTGTGCAGGTGCACAAAAAGCCAGAAGAAGATGTCATTATCTCCTGGAGCTTATTTACAGACATTTGTGAGCCACTGGATGTGGTACATATCCAAACTCTGGTCCTCATCATAGAGCAGCAAGCGCTGTTAACCCCTGAGCCACCTCTCCAGCCTTAGCTCAGGACTTTAAAAGATATATAGATAACTCTAATGGTTCCAATTTCTTTGAAGCAGTTTCACCATGTAGCACAGGCTAGCCTGGAACTCTTGATTCTTCTGCCTCAGCTTCTCAATGGCTGGCAGTACAGGCATGTGCCATCATTCCTGGCACTTCCATGGGATGAAGGGACATGTAGGCTTCTCCAGTACATTGCTACATGACAAAATTTCTGTGGTCTGAGGGATGGGAACCCAGGGCCTCACAGATGCTTCCCCTCCTGCCAGAGAAACTTTTCCTAATGGGACACAGGAAGGGCTGGAGCCCTCACAGAGACCCTCCCCCCTGTTGGGCTTAGCAGATCCACAAAAGCATGAGCAGGGCTGTGCAGACAGAGGCTTGGGGTTCACAGGCCTTGGCCGACACTGGATCCCGAGATCAGCAGGTCAACCTCTGGCTCAGGCCAGGTCTCCAGACCCCCTGTGAGTTAGCCCCATTTGAGTCAGCTGCACTTGGGAATCCCGACACAATCGCAGTACAGACTGGAAATATATTAGGGCATTGGTTATTAAAAAGGAGAGATTGAAAATATCAAGTAGAAAAAGACCACACATGAGTTTCTTCCATGGCCCTTTTCGGGGATCACAAGCTAATGCACTGGCAGCATGGTTCCAGCGTAGCCCTCCTGGCTGGGATGTGTGATGGTCGAGGTGACGGTCTTGATTGAACTAACAAGAACCTGGGAGGTTGGTAAGTCTGTAGGGTTTCCAGAGAGTTAAAGCAGAAGACCCTCCCTTAACGTGGGCAGCACCAACTAACAGGCTAAAGGCTCTGGCAGAACACAGCTGGGAAAAGGTCTACTGCAAGAAGCCCACTTCTCCCTGCCCCCTCCTCCTGCCGCTCCTTCTTGGCCACCAGGAAGTGGATTGATCCCAAAGACTCTCCCTGTCCTTATGGGTGGAAACCTCTGAGAGTGTGACCCTTGATCTCTGAAGTTGTTTTGCTTGGATATATATATATTTATTACAGCAGCATTTCCTGTTGTATGCACAGATACATGCATCCTTCAACAGAAACAGCTTCCTCTTAAGAAAGTGTCCCTTTGAAATGCAAACCCTGAAGACTCTCAACAGCTACACTTGAAGGTTCTAAGCCAAACAGCAGTACTCCTGACAACTCTAGGGGCTGGAGAGCTCCTCCATAGGTAATATGTTTGCTGCACACGCATGAGTGTGAGTATCCAGTGCTAGGGAGGTGGAGATGAGTGATCCCAGGGGCTTGCTGGTCAGCCAGCCTAACCCATTTGCATGTCTCAGGCCAATGAGAGACCCAGTGTCAAAACACAAGGTGGACAGCACTTGAGGAATGATGCTGCGTTGTCTCAGGTCTGCATGCATACACAGAAGGGGGAAAACAACTGTATTAATTGGGAGAAAAATGAAAAAAAAATATGTATTTATTTATTTATTTATTTATTTGAGAAAGTGTCTTCCTCCATAGTGTAGGTTTCCAGAACCTTGTGATCCTCCCACTTCAGCCTTCCAAGTGCTAGAATTTCAAGTGTGCCCTACCAAGCCCAGCTTGTCTATTTTGTTTTGAGACAGTCTATGTCACCTTGATTGATTTACATCATGGACTCAACTGATCCTCTCACCTCAGCCTCCTAGGTAGCTGGGACTGCGGCTGTGTGCCTCTGTGCCTGGATGAAAAATCAGACTTTCAAAGAGGCTTTGCAGCAATGGCCAGAAGCTAGTAAGTACAAACCACTGTGGTTTAAGGACTAAGCTCCTAAGGCCAGGGGGAAGAACAAGACCGTGGGGAGGAAGAAGTGTTCCATCTGCAGATGGGACTAGCCCTACACCTGCCCCTCCAAACAGTCCACCAACATTATCTACACCCACAGAGGACTAGGGGCGGGGTCAAGGGAAGTCTTGGGTGTGTACCTGCTCTCAGTCTGATCTTCATTTCCAGTCCCTAAAGATGTCTCTGCCTGAGATTTCTTGCTTGCAAAAGTAAAGTTGGCACTCATCTCTTTCGGTTGGTCTGAGTGCTCTACTGGAAACTTTCTAGGGCTGAATAACAGACCAGACTTCAGAGTGTCCCCAGAGGGCCACTCTGCCTTGTTTGCTAGGAGGGGTGGGGAGTGGAATGACATGATTTCACTGACAAAGAAAAGGCCACAAAGGATCCACTCTCCTGTGGACTTAGACACCTTCAGGTAACCAGCTTGTCTTCCCTGATCTAGCCAGTCCTGATGCAAATGACTGTCTCTCCACACAGTGCCCATCCCCCCACACGCCTGTGGGGAGCTTGGGACAGGAGCCAGTGTCTTCACAGATCCTATCTGTTAGTTTCTGAGGGTTGAACCCAGTCTCAAGCTGGGACTTCTACACCCACCACTAGGCTCAAAGCCAAATATCCAGAAGCAATCAGCCCTGGATTTTTGGTGTGTTTTGGTCAGAAGCCTAGGCCCTGCCCTTTTCTCTAATCAATTATAGAAAAGAAGAAGAAAAGAAAACTTGTTAGCCAGCCAATAGCTTGTTCCTGTTATTTACAGCACCAGAGAAGCACGTTCTGCATGGAAAGGCTTTGAGGCCTTAGGCTGGGGTTCTAAATTTCAATTCCAGTGCCTTCATTCAATTGGGCTGTGTGACCTGGGTAGCTTGCTGTGCCTCCCTGAACCTCAGGAGTTGTTAAGAGGACTAAAGACACCGCTGGCAGTAGCATATGCAACCCAGCTGATGAAGATTCCTGTAGTCAGATGGCTTAGAGGCCTTTCATCTAAATTCTTTGTAATCCTATAATCTCTACTCCTTTTGACATCACCTCTGGCACAGCTTCAGCTCCATGATTTCTCCCCCTGAAGGCTGGGAAGTTTCCACACTTAGTCATGGGCAGGCAGCCTCAGCAGACTAACCACAGTCCCTGTATACCAGGTTCACCCTGAAAAACCAGATTTTCTTCCTTGCTGGCAAGGCTGGGACCTGGGAGGCCAGGCTCCATGCTAAATTGATTTTGTTTTGTTTAAGTTGAGACAGTGTCCTGTAGCTCAGGCTGGTCTCTGAAATCCTGATCCGCCTTTACTCACATGCCACCATGCCAGACTTTTGTTTATTTTTTTTTTTTTAACTTCATTTGTGTGTGTATATGGTATGTGTGTGGAAGTCAGAGAACAACTTGGGGGAGTTGGATCTCTCCTTTCACCAAGTAGCTCCTAAGGATTGAACCCGGGTCATCGGATTTGGTGGCAAGCACCTTCACCCCTGAGCCATCATGCTGGTCCCTGGTTTTTGTTTTTAATGAAAGGGAAAATACTAATGCATTTGGTGTATGGAAGGGTTAAGTAGTTTTATGACATTTTTGTTTTTCTCTACATATGAATATGATTTTGTTTGTTTGTTATTTGAGACAGGGTCTTGTTATGTCACCCAAACTGGTCCAGAACTCATAGCAATCCTGCCTTAGCTGGGATTACAGACATGTAAGTCACCATGCTAGGCTGTAAATTTGATCTTAATGTAAAATCTATTCTTATTGTACATCTCAGTGGATGGATAGTGAAAGCCAGTAACTGAATGCTTGGCATCCAGGTCTCTATGGATACCATCCATTCCTGTTTGGTTTGAGGAACAAGTTGATTATCTGCTGGCATGATGCTTGCTGTGTCAAAGGCACCAGTGTCCACCACAACCAGCCCCCGCCACACTGAACGTACCAGGTTCCACCAGGGGGCATGGCTGACCCATGCTCAGAGCCAGGCACATTGCATGAGCTTCAGGATCCTCATTACACTGTTCAGACCTTTCTGTCTTTTTCTTTTTTTCAAGCAATAACCCCCATGCATACCCTGGAAATGAGAATACTAGGAACCCAAGGGGAAAACTCCAGGCTTTCGATTCACCAACTCACAACCCTTCCAACCCCTACCTTGCCTCTCTTCAAGCCATTTGGAATATAAATGGTCAGATGGGGTCCCCCAAGGCTCACCTCTCCCTGAGCACAAGTATCTGCATTTGTGGCATTCCAGGAGCCCCTCAGCTTCAGACTGGTAATATTCCTCTTCCTGTCTTGCAGGGCCAGAGTGTACAGACACATATCTTTCTGAAGCAAGTTCACTGTAACCAAGGAGCACACAGACATTAGGGATGGTACAGCAACTCAATAATTTGTTAAGACTTCATTTATTTCTTTTGTGTGTTTGTTGTTGTTTTGTTTTGTTTTTAAATACATTCCTCAGTATGCAGTCTAGGCTTGCCTTAAACATGTGATCTTCCTGCCTCGGCCTCCCAAGGGCTAGGTCACAGATGTGTGCTACTATGCCTACTGGTACTAGAACTCCCAATTCAATAATGAAGCTTGGCCTTGAACCCCTAACTAATCCTCTTGCCTCCACCTTCCAAGTGCTGGGATTATAGACATGTACCATCACACCCAGCCAGGCTACTTTTGAGATCTTTCTGCTCTTTCTCCCTTGGCACCTTCTGTTTCCTTCCTTGTCTTTCCATTTGTCTAATATGTCCTGGCTCTGCCCAGGATTCAACAGGAGGCTGCATTCTACTTGCTGATTGGGGAGAATTTTCTAGGACACAGAAGCCATCCCACTTTTCTTTGGTGTGAAATCCTTAACGCTTTTGTCCATGCCCAGGAGGCTCTTGCACCCAGGCTCACTGAGCCAGCAGCAGCGAGCAGCGCTCCACACCCAAAGATGACCAAGCCCTCTGGGCCACGGAGGAAACTGTTCTTTGGTTTGAAACACCTTTCTCTTCCTCTTCCATCTTCCTCCCACAGAACTCAACTCTAGGTCTCCTTCCTTGGGATCCTGTCTGTGCTTAGACAGGAGCCCAGCTTTATTCCCACCCCACCCCCCTTTTTTTCTAGGAACTGATGACACAATGGGTTGTGGTTGGCTGTTTTCACTGCTATCTGCCTGCACCAGTCTGAACCCTGACAGTAAACTTCTGCATGCCAGCCCCTGTATGGCCTCCTTCCAATAAATACTTGAGAGGAGGACAGACAGACAGACACTGCCCTTTGGCGCAAACCTCTAAACATGAAACGAACAAATGCATTTCTTTCATTCACTTTGGGGTGATATGGGGCAACTAGGGCTCTGGCTTATAAGGAAACCCGCAAATGTACTTCTTGTTTCTACTCCTGTGGTTGCAATTCAAGATGGGTGCAGGCAGGGAAACGATAGAGAGGGTCAAAGAGTAAAAGAGCAGACTGAATCTGGGCACAGCTTTTGTAATGCTAGTTGGTTTTAGATAGTGTAACATAAACTCATGATAGCAGCTTTGCCCGATGTGTGGACGAAGCCTCCAAGGCTAATAGCAGAGGCCAGGTATCACAGTATAGAACCTGGTATTAGCCAGCAGGGTTGTCTCTAGGGAAAAGAATGCCCACAGTTCTGACGAAAGTCTCACCCATCCAGGCAACATTTCCTTTACTCCATTTGCTCACTCTGCAGAGCCTGGCTCAGAGTCGCACACTGACTAACATCTGTGGGATTGGATGGCATGCTAACTCTCTAGGAGGAAGTGTGGCGACCAGGCCACCTGTGGCCCTCCTTCCCATGGCCAGTCACAAACCTTTCAGGACACAGGTGCTTAGGGGAATTCCGGGTCCTACAGGTGAAGTTCGTTCATTCTGGTTCAAACAAGCATAAGATTTGAAAGGAGCTGCTTAGAAAAGACCTCACCAACAAAAGGGTTACAAACCCACTCGAGAACTTCAGGTGGCCTTGGTTTCTTGTTTAAAAGTGCAAAAGTCTGTCGTGCATATGGCCTTGGCAGGAGGAGCAAGTCCAACTATTAACTCTTTGTTGGACTAACTTTGTTCAGCCCCCTCCCGCTCCCGCAAACAGGGCTTTGAAAGGTATGGGTGGCTAACTTGAGAACAGGGTGTAAGGGTCTATAGTCTTAGCAGAGTCATCTGGCCACTTGATTGAGCCTCTAGCTAGCCCCACCCACTTAGCCTTCTAAACCATTCCGGTTTCGGTCCTGGAACTTTTTCTTCCTCTGATTCCAGAACCTCTTTCTCCTTGGGTAATCAAGTTCAAACAAAGGGTTGGGGACGTCGTAGTGTCACCCCCGCGCACCGGCTAGGATAGGCACGGTCCGGGTCCCCAGCAGGCGCATCACTCACCTGTCCAACCCGCGGCGCCCAAGGCTCTGCTTCGGCCGCGGCTCCGGGCCCCCCCAGGGCGCGGGACCGGGGGTCGAGGCTGTGTCCCAACTGGGCACCCAGGGCTCCGGTCGCGCATGGCTTTGGCGGGGCTTCTCCCAGGCTCTTTGTTCAGCTGCACGATGGCCCGCGTCCCTGTGTCTGTCCTGGCGCGGGTCTCGGTCGGTCCTTCGTTCCCTGCCCGCTCGACGGTCCCCGTTTCCTCTCACGTCCCCGTTCCTCTCCCTGTGCCTGTCCCCGGCTCGATCCCGCGGCCGCTCGACGTGGCGGTCTCGGTCCGGGTGCGGGCGCCGGTCTGGGTCTCGCTCTCTCGGACGGGCCCGGTGCTCGCGAGTCCCCAAAGTATCTTCCATGGCCCGGTTCTTGTCCCCGCCCGGAAACGACCCGAGGGCAACAACCAACCACAAGTTTCCCAGGTAGGTGACCAGGCTTAAGGGCAGGGCAGTGGAAGCTCACCTGTGCGCACGCGCACTCGCCCTCGGGCGGCCCCCAGAGGTGACCTGCCCCTGGCCGCCAGGGGGCGCTCGTGGTGCCCGGCAGAGGAGGTGGGGGACAGGTTCTTGTTGAAATAGCTGTCAGTCCTAGGTGTTTTGGGATTAACAAAGGTTAAGTGGTCCAGAGAGCAGGTGATAGGATGTGGCCAAATCAGCGGAGCCTTCAAATGCTGTCTCTTACGTAGAGACATCAGGAAGCCAGACCAGTCGCCTGCATATTTACTTTTGTGGTACTGGGTTTTAATCCCAGGACTTTGCATGTCTAGGTAAGTGGGCTACTGGGCTACATCCCCAGTTCCAAACTAAAATCATTAAACCCGCTAAGACAGTTTCATGCCACTGGGCAATGGTTTGAGCCTTCTGATAGAGGGCTTAGCTGTGGGAGGAGTTGGTAGCTTTGCTGGCTGCTCTAAACCTGGGGGTGGGGGGGGGCGTGACTCCACTCCCAGCCAGTGAAGCCAGCAGTGGTGATTGCTTGTTGATCAACGTGCAAAGCATCTTGGCCTCTCTTCCCCAGATTGTACCCATCTACTCAATCATCCATCCTTAGCCATCCACCCAGCCAGCCCTATATCTACCCACTCATTCATCCAGCGTCCCATCCACTGTTCCCCTCCCTCCTTAGAGAAGCTGTGTTGCCAATCCATTTATTGGCATAGCCCCAGATTTATAAAACACTTAAAAAAAAAGAATTATTGTATTCATAATCATCAACCTTTAATTTTGTCAAGTAAGGACATTTTAAAAATCTAGAAAACTGGCCTGTTAGTTCTTTCCGCAAGTGTGTGGGGGTACCTGACTCAGACGGTGCAGGAGATGATGCAGGGTAGTCCTCTTAGGCAGTTAGTGCTCCAGTGTGTGCAGAGGCTGGACAAGAATGTGCAAAAGCAAAGATCTAAAATTAGTGGGAGGGCTCTGCTCTGTGTGGACTGAGGAATCAGTGACTCAGGGAGCTATTTTAAATTGTGGTTTTCAAGATAATAGGGTTTTGAGGGAGTGCCTGCTTGGAGGCCCAGTCTGATTGTTGAGCTGACCCCTGTTTCTGGTGATATCCCCTATGTCTCCGGCCATCACAATGGATGCATGGGATGGAACACATGTTGCAGCTGGGCTGAGATGTCCCCTGGGTGGGCTCTAAAGGAGGGTTACAGCAGCAGGCAGTGTCTTTTCAGAGCTTTACATATAGTACTGTTTTGGCATTTCATTTCTCATAGCTGGAAGTACAGCCCTCTGTGGCTGCCATCCATGCAGAATGGGCGTTGGGGGCAAGCAGAAGTCTTTGTGGTCCCCAAAAAAATTGCAATGGCTCATCCATGCAGTTTCAACTCTGCTTTGCGAATGTTATGAATTAGTCTCCTAGCCACTTCTGCAGAGGCTTTGGTGCCAAGCTCTATGCCAGGCTCTGCCAATGTTACCACTAAGACTACAAGATGCAGAGGGAGAGCCTTAAAAACTCCAGAGGATTGCCTTTCCTCACCCCTGCATTCATCTATGGCTCCGTTATCACTGAGCAGAACGCTAATCTCTGAAATCCCTTTTCTGTCCAACAGATTAAACCTGAGCCAGGTATCACTGGTAGACCACACCTACAATTCCAGCCTGTGATCTCTGTAAATCATATGTTGGAAGGTTGAAGCAGGAGGAGCATTGATGTTTAATAAGGATCAGGAGAAACAAATAGGCTGAATAGATGTTTATTCAGGGAGAAATAACTTACAATATAGACAGATGAACACCAGCAGATTCCTGACCCAAGGATGCCTCCAGATGTACTCCTGTCCCAGTGCTGCAAGCAAGAGAGCTTGAGTTCTCAGAGCCCCCTCCTCAGATTTAGTTCCCCCAGGTAATGTCCGGCCCTGTCTCCACCCACCAATGGGTGTGATCTATGCCACAGGTGCAGACAAGGTGAGTATCTCACTACAGAGGAGTGCCACTAGTTTGAGACCAACCTTGTCTACATAGTTAGCTCTAGGCTAGCCACGGATACCTGGCAGTAACTGTCTCAAAAGGGGGTTTTATCTCACTGGTAACAGACATGTTCAGTCTAGGTTCAATTCTCAATACCACCAGAAAACTACAAAGGAAATCATTAATCTATTGGGCTGAGGAGATTGCCCAGTGATCTCTGCTCAAGTGTGAGGATTTGAGTTCAGATCCTCCTGAACCTGTGTAAAGTTGGCTGGGGCAACTCACATCTGTATCCAGGCACTCCTACAATGAAATGGGAGATGTAGATAGAGGAGTCCTCTCAGAAGCTTGCCTGGGGTGTGCAGAGAAGCTAGCCTGGTGTATGCAGTGGTGAGCCCTGTCTAAACAGGTGCAAAATGAGTATACTTACCCAAATTTGTCCTCTGACCTCCACAAATATGCCATGCTTGCATTCACACAGGAGCACACACACAGAGAGACACACAGAGAGACACAGAGAGAGACAGAGAGGGAGAGAGAGACAGAGAGAGACAGAGAGAGACAGAGAGGGAGAGAGACACACAGAGAGAGACAGACAGACAGAGAAGGGGCAGGAGGTCTAAAATCCAAAGTATTACCCAAATTGGACACCTTAGGTCAAATGCCCCGATCTGTGAGCTCCATCACAAGCTTCTGAAGCACAATGAAGGGGCAGCCACAGGCAGACATTCTCACTACAAAAGAGAGAAGTGGGAGGGAGGGGAGGAAGAACAGGTGCCAGCCAAACCCTGAGCCAGCTGGGTTTCCCTCAGACAGCTCTGCCCACGCCTGGCTATCCTGGCATGTCTTTCTGACCACTGTCTCTCACCTTCTTTCCAGGGCTCAGCTCACTAAGTAAACATTATATATTTGTGTTCTTATAAGTGGGTCTATTGTTTAGCTGTACCTTGTAGAGTAAGTTCCACGAAGGCGGGGACTTCCTGTGTGCCCTGTTATGTCCCCAGTGCCTAGAACATGCCACCTGTTCAGTGAATAAACGAATGAATAGTGCTGCTGGATGAAACCAGCTCTGGCCTCCTACCAGATGACGATGGCCTTGCTTTTAAACGTCCCTAGGATTTTGCTTCGGGCATTTTAGTATTTTTCCTTCTGCTTGCTTTCTTTCTCTCTTTCATTCATTACTCCTCCAAACCCACTAAGGACAGGGTCTCTGAGTCATCTCTAGATGCCCTCCCAGTGCACACTCAGTCAGGATTTGCTGAGTGGCCATGCAGATGGCTCGCTGTCCTTTGTGCCTCTCTTAGTAAGACTTTGCTGAGCAGATAGGGCCTGAGGTTTCTTTGTGGGAAGCTGGGAAGTTTTCAAGATTAGAGGAAAGTTTTGTGTGTGTGTGTGTGTGTGTGTGTGTGTGTGTGTGTGTCTATGTGTTGTCTATGTATGTCTGTGTTGTAGGAATGTATGTGTTTAATTACTGTGTACACATATAAATGTGTATGTGTGCCTGTGTGCAAAGGCCAGAGTTAACAGTTTGGTGTCTCCACCATATTTTTTGAGACAGGGTCCCTCAGTGAACCTGGAGCCATATGGTTAGGCTGTCTGTCCAGTAACCTTCAGGAATCCAGTTGGGCTGCTAGCTAATGAACTGCAGGGATCTCCCTATCCCCATTGCCACCCTTCTGTCCAGCACTGGGTTATGAGTGCAAGTCACCATGCTTGGCTTTTTTACAAAGCTTTTTGGGAATCTGAATTCAGGTCCTTGTGCTTGCACGGCAGGCATTTTACTGGGTGAACCATCTCCCTGCCCCCTGGAAGAGATAGGGTCTCATGTAGCCCAGTGTGACCTCAAAGTTGCTATGTAGGTAAGGATAACCTTGAAATTCTGATCCTCCCTCCTCTACCTCCTAGTTCTGGGATTACAGGCATGCACCAACATGCTTAGTTCATGCTAGAGGGATTTGTTCACTCTAGACAAGCACCCTACCAACTGAGCTACATCTGAGTCCTATTTTAAAAAATTATTTATTTATTTTTATTTCTATGTGCATTAGTATTTTACCTGCATGTGTATCTGTGTGAGGGTTTTGAATCCCCTGAAGGTAAAGTTACAGGTAGTTGTGAGCTGTTATGTGGGTGCTGGGAATTGAACCCAGGTCCTCTGGAAGAATAGTCAGTGCTCTTAACAGTTGAGCCATCTCTCCAGTCCCAAGTCCTATTTTTAAAATTTTATTTAATTATTTTTTACACAGGGTCTTATTCTGTAGCCCAGGCTCGCTGGCATCCTCTTACCCCTGAATGACGGGAATCCATCATACCCATTATGGAAAGCCTTCTTAAGGTCCAGTTATCTCCTGACATTTCAATAACCCTCTGTGGGGGGTTGCCAGCTTGCTAACAACAACAACAACAACAACAATAAAGGCCATGGCAGTCTTTCCAGCCCCATATAGTTCTCCATGACCAGGACCTGACCCAGAAAGGGTTTTGATGCTTCTGCCCTGTGATCCCAAACCTTTGTGAGTCCCAAAACAGATAGACTCAGGGCTGGCCGCACAAGTTGTGGGGGCAGGCTCCAAATGGAAAAGTAGTCTTGTTTAAATATGAGTTGTAGGATGGTGACAAGAAGGCATTAAATTCCCATTTAAGATTTTAATATGCTTATTCTTTGAGAATTTCGTAAATGCATACAATCTTTTATGATCATTTCTACCCCTATTTCTCCTCTCCATTTCTTACTGGGCTTCCCCAACATTATCTCCTATCAGTGTCTACTTCATGCCTTCCTCTCTCTCCTCCTCTCTTCCTCTTCCTCCTTCTCTTCTTCTTCATCCAATTCATGCTGACCCACGTGAATAGACATGTGGGAATGCAGGGCCATCCACTGGAGTATGGACAACCTGCCAGTGGTCACAAAGCCAAAGAGAAAAGGCTCTTTTTCCCTTAGCAGCCATTATTTGCAAACAGGTCCCCAGCTAGGGGCAAGGCCTCGTCAGCCAATCCCCATCCATGCTGGATTGTTGACAGTCTTGCTCCTGTT